CCCCCCCCCCCCCCCCCCCCCGGTCTAATCTACACCCTTTTGAATTTTCTTCAATGGATCTACGCCGCCTTCCTCCACGCACGGATCTCCTTGATAATTCCATCAGCCAGCTCTTCGGCGGAGTAGTTCTTGCCAAAAAATTTCACGAAATTCATGTCTGGATCCATCAAGTACATCACAATGGAGTGGTCGATCATATACGCATCGTCCTTCTCATCCGTCTTCATATAATACACTCGATAGGCTTTGGCCACCGCCTTCACCTCCTCCGTTGTCCCGGTCAGGCCAATCATCTTCGGATGAAATCCTTTCACGTACTCTTTGACCGCTTCCGGTGTGTCCCGCTCGGGATCCACCGAGACGAAGATCGGTCTGACGTCCACCTTGCCCTTCTTCTGCACCAGATCGACGGCCGTCGCTAGCTTCCTCAACTCCTCCGGGCAGATGTCGGGACAGAACGTGAATCCGAAGTACACCACCTTGAATTGTCCATCGCCTTGGAAATCTTTTTGCGTCACTGGTTTTCCGTTGTGATCAACAAGTGTAAAAGGGCCCCCGATGGCAGGGATCCCGACTCCCGGTCCGGACTTCACCTCAGCCAGTCGGCGCTTCTTCTCTCTGTCGTAGTACCACAGAATGCCGCCACCTGTCACAAGGAGGAGGGCCAAGCTTCCCCAGGTCACAGGCCCGCTGCGGAGGGACCTTCCCATCGGCGGCGTCGAACTTGAACTCGACGACTCCTGCTGCTGCTCATTTCCCGCGCTTTCCTGCCCCTCTGCTGCTTTCCCGCCAGAATCGCCCTCACTTCCCGCCAATTCCGTCTGCTTCTTCTTCGACGAATCGTCGGCGCTTGAAGATCCCGATTCACGGTGCGAGTCGCGCGACGTGGGGGAGGAGGGGGAGGAGGGGGAGGAGGGGGAGGAGGAGGGGGAGGAGGAGGAGGAGGAGAAAATTTGGCGCACTCCTGCGGATGAGATGTGCCGAGCGGGAAACGCGGGAAAGGCCATCGCACCGACCTCGTTCGCTGCTCCCACGGCAGTCGGGATCTTCTCAAGACCCCCATCTGACCGTACGAGCGGCATACGCAGCCACGTGGATCCGATCGCCTGTGGCGCCATAACTCGGTCCGGATCGCGGCCCGAGACTGCCGCCCCGACTGCTGCCACGTGGTACGTGCACGATGATCCTCCCTGCTTGATCACATTCTGGCTCAGAGAGGCTGACACGTGTCGCTCCACCAGATGCCTGATCGCTCCACATCCTCCTCCTCCTCCTCCTCCTCGCTGCCTCCCCACCCTCCTCAGAAGATTGCCCCATCGCGCAGAGGGAATCATCTTCCTAATCAACAGTAATCAATTGCTAATCAGTCAACGAGATCGATTTGACAGATCGAAATGAGCAATGGCTGCGGCCTACCTTCTTCCCCCGAATACAACGTACGGTCATTATAGCTGTATCTAGACTGAAAGATGCCTCAAATACATAGCTATAATGACCGTACTATGTTGTATTCGGGGGAAGAAGGTAGGTACTTAGCCAATTTTTTGTTAAACTCTTTTAAAAAATGCCAGTTTTAAATAAATCGCTCTTATTCATTTTAGACAATGCAAGGACAAAGAGCACTTCGTTCCGAAAAAGAAAAAGAAAAAAAAAAAAAACCTTCATGGGGATAAATTGGACAACCGGGGGAGTGGGGCGGGGGGGGGGGGGTTGGGGGGGGGTCTTGGTGGGGCACGGGGGGGGGGGGGGGGGGGGGGGGGGGGGGGGGGGAGGGATAACGATATAGTCCTCAGGGGCCTACTCAACAACATGATTTGCTTTTTTTTATTCCCTTGTTTACCCTTTTTTTTCCTTTTTTTCTTTTTTCTCCTTTTTATTCCTTTTTTTTTCCTTTTTCCTTTTTTTTTCCCTTTTTCCTTTTTTTCCTTTTTTTTCCTTTTTTTTCCTTTTTTTTCCTTTTTTTCCCTTTTTTTTCTTTTTTTAAGGGCGTCAGCCTTGAGATACCATCTTTGAACTGACCTGCCGATGCAAATTCAGAGCTATTTTAATTCATCTGGATTTCAACGGTTCCATCTGGATTCGAACTCAGGTCTGCATTTCAACAGTTGATGTGTGCACCAACTGAGCTAGCACAGGTGGTACTCTATTCTGAGCTAAAATGACCGTACGCTGTATTTCGGCATCTTTCAGTCTAGATACAGCTATAATGACCGTACGTTGTATTCGGGGAAAGAAGACTGTAGGCTGTTTGGGTATTCAGCATAACTGTTTTTTTTTGGTGAACCGTTTTTTTTCTGTGATCATAATGCCAGTTTATTTTTCTGCACGTCAGCATCAACAGTTCATTGAGTGCACCAACTGAGCTAGAACAGGTGGTACAACATGATTTGAACATAACCGTTTTTTCTGTGATTATACATACTTGCCGGTGATTATAATCAACTGCACTGATACCTCCCAGAATAGATAGGCCAGTGTGTGTTTGTCAAAAAAGAAAAAAAGAAAAAACAAACAAAACAAGAGTTAGCATGGAAGGATAAAAAATGAAAAATAAAAACAAGAGGTAGCATGAAAGGATTAAAAAAAAAAAAAAAAAAGGATGGTGGGAGTCTGTGTACCTGGTTTCCAGCACGTGCTGATTCCGATCAACAAAGAA